GGGGGGGGATTGAAACCACTGCCTTGTGCGTGCAAGGCAAGCACTCTACCAACTGAGCTATATCCCCAGCCCAAAACTTTCTTGTTTTGGAGGTGGGGGTTACCAGGGATTGAACTCCAGGGTATTTGACCACTGACCCCCATTTCCAGCCCAATTTTGTATTTTATTTATTTTTGTGGTGCTGGAGATTGAACCCAGGGCTTTGTGCATGCCAGGTAAGCCCTCTACCAAGTGAGCTATATCACCAGCTCCTATTTTGTATTTTATTTAGAGAATACAGGGTCTCACTGAGTTGCTTAGCACCTGTTTTTTGTTTTTTTTTTTTTTGTACCAGGAATTGAACTCAGGCACACAATCACTGAGCCACATTCCCAGTCCTATTTTGTATTTTATTTTGAGACAGGGTCTCACTCAGTTGCTAAACCCCTTGCCCATTGCTGAGGCTGGCTTTGAAATCCTAATCCTCCTAATCCTGCCTCAGCCTCTCCTAGCCCCTGGGATTACAGGAGTGTGCCACCATGCCTGACAAGAAGTACACTCTTTATTATCCAGATAACAATCAGTATTTTACACTTTTTGTTTAATCAAGTAAATGTGAAAGCACTATGAGAAGTTAAAAAGTTATACACTCCCCCCAAAACAAAACAAGAACTGAAAGTATACTCAGAGTATGAACTCAGTTCTGTCATTTTCTGGTTGGTGGTGACCTTTGTGCTTCAGTTTCCTCATTACAGTATTAATAAATAGTACCTACTTCCAGTTGTGAGGCATTAATTAACAGTATCTATCATTAGCCACAATTTTTTTTTGTTTTTTTTTTTTTGGAGAGAGAAAGAATTTTTTTTCTATATTTATTTTCGGCAGACACAACATCTTTGTTTGTATGTGGTGGTGAGGATAGAACCTGGGCCGCCACGCATGCCAGGCAAGCGTGCTACTGCTTGAACCACATCCCCAGCCCATAGCCACACCATTTTTAGAATGCTTTACTCTTAGGAAATGTCAAGATTTTGTTAAGTAATTGTAGACCCGTGTGAATAAATGATCACACCTGTAAATAATTGGTATTGCCAAATCCAGATTGTCTTTTTTTCCTTATATGAAGACTAGGGGCTGGGGATGTGGCTTTGTAGTAGGGTGCTGACCCAGGCCCATTTGAGACCCTGGGTTCAGACCCCAGCACTGCAAACAACAAAAAAACAGAACTATCTTTTCTTTAGAAGTTTCACCAAAAATATTCCTATAGTACAAGTCATTAAAAATCTTTTAAGGGGCTGGAGTTGTGGCTCAGTGGTAGAGGTAGCACTTGCCTAGCATGTGTGAGGCCCTGGGTTCGATCCTTAGCAATAAATAAATAAAAATAAAAAGTCTTTTAAAACAATTTAATGTTTAAAAAGTGAATAGGGGCCTAATACAGTGGTGCACACCTATAATCCCAGCAACTGGGGAGGTTGAGCAGGAGGATGGCAAGTTCAAGGCCAGACTCAGCAAGTTAGTGAAGCCCTAAGCAACTTATTGAAACCCTGTCTCAAAATAAAAAGAACTGGAGATGAGACTCAGTGTTATATACCCTGGATTAAATTCCTAGTACCAAATAAAAAAATAAAAATTAATATATATATTTTTTTAGATAAAAAGGGTTGGGGCTGTTGCTCAGTGGTTAAGCACCCCTGCATTCAATCCCTGGGATCAAAAACAAAACTGAATAGGGTTAAAAAAGAAAAATGAAAACTATCAAAGGATCAAACATTGAGTACTGAATGTGCAAGTTTTTCTGGCAAACTGGGAACCAAGTCTACCACAGATCTAGATAGGCTTTCAAGATGTGGTTTGGAAGAAAAGAAGTGAGGTAAATCTTTTAAAACCAAAAGCCCATGAATTACATCCCTCATTAAAAAAAAAAAAAAATCTTGCTAAGCACAGTGGCACACACCTGTAATCTCAGCTACTTGGGAAGCTGAGGCAGGAAGATCACAAGTTTGAGGACAGCTTAGGCAATTTAGCAAGATGCTGTTTCAAAATAAAATTTAGATAACTGGGGATGCAGCTCAGTAGTAAAAGTGCCCCCCTTGGGCTGGAGTTGTAGCCACAAGCTGCTGGTAGAGCACTTGTCTAGCATGTGTGAGGACCTGGGTTTGACTATCAGCACTACATATAAATAAATGAATAAAATAAAGGTCCATCAACATCTAAAAAAATATTTTTTAAAAAATGCCCCTGGGTTCAATCACTAAGGGGGAAAGTCTCAGACTGGGGATATAGCTCAGTGGTAGAGCATTTGTTTAGCCCACAAATCCTGGGTTCAATCCCTAGTACTGTTGTAACAAACCCAGCCTCAGCAACTTATCAAGGCACTGGCTCTAAAAGCTCCCTTTCACCTTCTGAATGTACCCCTTATTGCTCTAAGGCTTATTTATTTTTAATATATTTTTAGTTGTAGATGGACACAATGCCTTCATTTGTTTTGTTTTGTTTTTTAATGTGGTGCAGCGGATCCAATTCAGTGCCTCATGCAAGCTAGGCAAGCGCTCTACCACTGAGCCACAACCTGACCCAAGTTTTTTTAAAAAGTTTTTTTTTTTTTTTCTCTCTGCTCTTCCCCCAACCCTAACAAGATTAGGGAGAAAGTGTTATTTTCCCCAAGTTAATTGCCCTTGTACACACCCACTACAAGAAGGAGATGCCTACTGAGGATCTGGAAAGTGAATATCTCCCAAATTAACAAGTGAATCCTAACACGCCTTTAGGGTACCCTGGGACACCCCCCCCCCAGGATTCCCTACCATAGCACACCTGGAATGTAATCCTTGAAAAGTTCCTTTAAAACCCTCCAGTACTTCCTGATTAAGAAAGTCACAACCTTTGGGACTGGAGTCCTCTGTGTTTCTCCTTTGCTAACAAAGCAATAAACTTTTTTCCTTTTTTTCTCAAAACGGTGTCCTCATTATTAAATTGGCATTGATCGCACTGGGGACAGGGACTGAGTTTTTTGTTACACTGTGATGGCAAAACCAGACCTGGTTGTGACGGTGGGCTGGGGCTGTAGCTCCGTGATGGAGCTCTTGCCTAACATGTGTGAAACACTGGGTTCAATCCTCAACACCACATAAAGATAAATAAATAAATAAAATAAAGGTATTGTGTCCATCTACAACTAAAATATATTTTTTAAAAATGAGTTAGGTCCAGTGGCACACGCCTGTTATCCCAGTGACTCCAGAGGCTGAGGCAGAAGGATCATGATTTAAAACCCAGCCTCAGCATCTTTTCAAGGCCCTGGCTCTAATATATAAAAAGGGCTTGGATGTGGCTTAGAGGTTAAGCGCCACTGGATTCAATCCCTGGTTTAAAAAAAAAAAAAAAGTTATGGTCATAAACCAATGTCTGGGGAAAGGGTCAGTTTTGTCCTCCCTACCCCCTAGCCTTTCTCTGGGAAGCATAATTAACCATGAGTCCCTACCTTTTGGGTTATAAATAACTGCCTTAGGAGCTGGACTGCACTCTTGAAATGCAAAAGAAGCCTGTGAAAAGAGCCCTTTCTTACCTGTTTCTGTAAGCAAGTTGTATGTTAGAGACCCTGCACTAGGCTGCCAGTTGCATAAATTAGGGCTTTTTTTTTTTCTTCTTTTTTTTAAGAGGAAAAAGCTCCAATGATAGGATGGGTCTAAAATGATGCCAAACAACCTATAAATGTAGACACTGTGAATCGGCTCAGAATTTGGAGTTTCGTTTCCCTCTGGGTCTGCTGGCATGATAGAACATTTAGATTCTCTGAGTGCTGCTTACTGCTTCCAGATCAGTCTGTTTCCTGCAACAGTACCTTGAAGGAAAAAAAAAAGCGAAATCTTCAGGTCTTGTTGATTGCTGTTTTTGGGTTTTTTTGTGTGCTTTTTTTTTTTTTTTTTGGAGGGGGGGGTTGTTTTAGTATAAACATGTGGTTCTATTTTCAGAGACATAAATATTTCAGTTACAAATATAAACCATCATTGTCCACATATGGTATAACTTTGATTTTGATTAGAATCAACGAAACTAAAGTGGCAATTTTCAGTTTTATTAAAATAAAGTGATTTTGAAATTGTTTACAATAGCTTCTTTAATGCTTGAGATTTTTACCAGTTTATAACTTTGTTACAAAGATAATCAGCATAACATATTTGATAGATTTGTTTGTATTTAAGGAAGATCACTTGATTGGCTGGTTTTATCTGGACTCCTCACTTAGGTAAACACTGAGTTGGCTGGAGATAATGGTCTGCTGTGTACTTGAGGACTCTGTCTCAAAAATATGGCTACCCTTGCCCCCTGAGTTGTGTGTGACAAATCAAAATTGTGATGATATCACCTAGGCAGGTCTGCAGTGGCATTAGCAACCAAGGTGACGAGGCAGGGTTTACAAATTAGGATCAACTCAACTGCAAATTACAGGAAGCAAAAAGGAAATAAAAAAAAAATAAGCTAAATAAACTAAAATTCTAATAAACAAGATCGAATTTGTCTTTCCCATATAAGAAGTCTTAAGGTAGTAAATCCAAAGTCAGCATGGTGCTCCATGTTTTTAGAATCCAGTCCCCTATCTCCTTACCATGCAATCATTCCTCTCTCAAGTTTGTCTCTCAAGCTCTGTCCAAGAGCTCTCACTTGCCAAGTTCCAACTATATTCTGGTCAATAGGAAAGAGGAAAAAAGATTGAGATGGCCCCACATTTTCAGAACAATTCCCAGAAGCTGCATACAATTCTGGTTACTCCTATTATCCAGAATGTAATCAATCACATGGTCACACTTAGGCGTAAGGGATGATAGGAATGTAGTCTTTATTCTTGTTGGCCACATGCCCAGTAGGAACACAGGATTTCTACAACTGTGGAAGAGGGGTGAAAAGATGTCAGGCACAACTAGCAAATGACCATAAATAACAAGATCGAAAAAAATGAATACATTAATTTTGCAAATTTACCATTTGCAAAAATATGAAGCATATGATACTTAGTATTTTCATAAGAATGCACACAAGTAATTCTCAGCATAAGACTTATTTTGTCACTGTAAACTGATTTATACCTTTGGGAATCTAAGAACTTATCTTCAAACCACAATATTGGCTCCACTAATAACTAAAAGCCTGATCAATTCACTTTATTCTTTTGAGTCTGGTCTTTTGTAATACACAAGGTATAGATTAAATGACCCCAAAGGTATTATTTTAATGAAGAATACTAAAGCCTAAAGTAAAAATCAACAGGTATTGACTGATCATTCTAGTTTTGTAATAAAACAGTGTCTTTTCTGTTAATAAGCTTACAGTTAAATTGGTAAAGTAAGATAACCTTTGAACACATTATTTTATGAGTTCATTCCCGAGACAAAAGAGAAAAACTCACCTTCCCAGGGCTCCATGTGTCAGATGTATACTGTATACTCTGGTCTCTCAACTGCATGAGATTTCAAGTCAGAAGAAAGGTGGAGTGAAGATGGAGGCTGCTTGGCATTTCATTGTGATACAATAACCAGCATCCAAAAATAGTAGGGCAAGAGGTGTTAGAGGTCATGTTCAGTGTCTAGTGTCAGCACCGAGAGTGGGAGATCTACTTGCACCCCATGGTGGCATCAACAAGATCAACATTAGAATAGCAGAACACTATAATTTTGGTATTAGTCCTATATAGCTACTGAGCCTTTTTTTCTGCACACTCATAGATTCTAGGAGACATCTGGATCCTTTAATAAATATATTTTCTGTTTAAACTAGAAATGAGACTAGATTCTGTTATTTGCAACTGTGGATCCTAACTAAAACACACTGACTGATTATAATTAAGACAACACATAATTAAATGTTGATTAATTTAGAAATAATAGATTGATAAGTGCTACAACCCAGGCACAGTGGTACACACCTATATCTTAGTGCTTCAGGAAGCTGAGGCAGCAGGATCATGAGTTTGAAGCCAGGCTCAGTAATTTAGTGAGGCCTTAAGCAATGAACCCTGCTCAGGGTTCAATGAAACCCTGTTACAAAATAAAACACAAACAAAGAGCTGGAGATGTGGCTAAGTGGTTGAACACTATGAGTTCAATCCTCAGTACCAAATAAATAAATAAATAAATAAGTGCTATGGATGTTCTGAAGAAAGAAAAATGAACAAGAGTTGTCAGGGAAGGCTTCTGGAAAGATATGGAACTTGAGCTGTATCTTGGAATTAAGTAGGATTAAAATAGATGGATAGACAGTTGTTTTAAGATAACAGAAGTATAAAAAAATAATTAACCTTTGTGGGTGTGGTGGTGCATATCTGTAATCCCAGCAACTCTGGAGGCTGAGGCAGGAGGGATTCCAAGTCCCAGGCCAACCTGGACAATTTATCAAGATCCTGTCTCAAAAAAAAAAAAAAAAAGGGATTGGACATGGTGGTGCACACCTGTAATCCCAGTGACTTGGGAGGCTGAGACAGGAGGGTTGTAAGTTCAAAGTCAGTATCAGCAACTTAGTGAGGCTCTAAGCAACTTAGTGAGACCCTGGAGAGGTGGGGGGAGGGGGGAGAGGGAAAGAGGGAGGAGGGGAGGGGATTGAAATAACTTGTGCTGGGAAGAATGGAAAATAAAATTGGGATATGACATAATTAACTGGTACTGAGAAAAATAAAATTGGGATAGCTATGTTTTTGGTGGGTACCCAGAAGCACTTTACCATTGATCTACATCCCTAGCCCTTTTTGGTGGTTGTTGTTTTTGTTTTGAAACAGGGTCTTGTTAAATTGCTTAAGAGTCTAAGTTGCTAAAGCTGGCTTAGAACTTGCAACCCTCCTGTCTCAGCCTCTTGAGTTGCTGGGATTATAGGTACACACAGTGTACCACTGTGCCCATACAGGATAGCTATTTTTTAAAAAATAATTATTTTATTATTTTATTTATTTTTATGTAGTGCTAAGGATTGAACCCAGTCCCTCACACATGCTAGGCAAGCATTCTGCCATGGAGCTACAGCCCAACCCAGGGACAACTATTTTAAACAGAGAGATCACATCATGTATCCTTTTGTTAATACACCCTCATATTAAATATTATTTTAATATAATACTGGATGCATATAAAATATGTTTTCACATATCATAATAAAAACTGTGAATCTAATATCCATTCTAAGAATTGGTCTATATCTTCCATATATGAGTTTATTTTCCTTTCTCCTGAATCCTCCAGCTTACTGAGATCACTCCTATTTTGAATTTTATATTTACCATTCTTTTTAAAAATAGTTTTAGAGCTGGGCACGGTGGTGAACACCTGTAATCCCAGCATCTTGGGAGGCTAAGACAGGAGGATTGTGACTTCAAAGCCAGCCTCAGCAATGGCAAGGCACTAAGCAACTCTGTGAGACCCTGTCTCTAAATAAAATGCAAAATAGGACTGGGCCTGTAGCTTAATAGTTGAGTGCCTCTGAGTTCAATCCCTGGTACCCCCACTCGACGCAAAAATAGTTTTAGCATATACATATGGGCCCAAAATATAAACAATTTTAATACTGTTTGGGGGCTTTATAAAAATTACATCAAACTATATGCAGTCTGTTGGGCTTGCTTGTCTTACTCTATATTTTGTTCTGTGATTCTTTCACATTGTTTCAGATAATTGTAGTTCAGAAAATTTTCACTGCTGTAAACTATTCTATTTTTGAATCA